TTCTATGTTCCTAAATGAGTTTTAATAACAGTGTGTTACAGGCAGGTTCATAGGACAGTGGGGGCACTGTGGGAAGCAGTGACAATTGTTTCCCAGAGGTGACATCTGGACTGGGATGGAGGGTATTTCTGGATGATTGCAAACTCAAGGAGTCAGCACGATTTAAAACAACAACAAATATGTACCTACTCAGGTTGATGGCCCACGTAGTGTGACCCATTCTTGAGTATTGCTGCTTAGAAGCCTATGGCACTGATGACGTCCCCTTACCTTTGGCACTCAGCCAAGAATATGGCAGACAACAAATTCTGTGGCACTCCTCCAAGGTCATCTCCTTGGAGCCACACTCTCCCATTATTATTATTCAGCCTGATCTCAGTGGCTTGCTGTGGCTACTTCCTCAGGGACGTTAATTTGTGTCCTTAGGGTGTTCATAGATTCAGGGTGTGTCTCTTGATAATGGCTGATGGAGGTGTTCCATGTTGTAGCTCCCTATGCAGACTAAGACCTGGTATGTGTGTGTTGGATTCAGTCTGGAGGATTGTCTGAAGAAGGAGGAGCATGGCGGCTGCAGACTCACTTGCTCAGATATTCCCAGAGCAGGAACTGGCATGTAGACCTCTGGTAAGGCAGAAAATGCCTTTCTTTGAAACAGGAGGTGATCCACAAAGACTGGAAGCCTGAAGCCAATTCCTTGGTCAACAAGTAGAAAGTACAGCGGTTGTATGGTGCAGTCACGCGAGGAGGGAAAGGCTATAGGACAGTTGGCTATGGACAACACCCCTGAAGCCTGAGGGCACCCACTGCGGGTCAGGTGCCATTGGATCCAGTGTCCATCCCTTCCTACCTATGCTGTGATTAAAATACACTGGACCCCAGGGCAGAAAGGCTGCCGAAGGTTACAATTTTACAGCTTGTCTTTTCCACTCTATGATGACTGTTGAGAAAAAAATAGGACTATGGTTATTTCTGGTGGGTTTCATTTTTTAAGCCCCTTCAAGCCTTAGGCAACTGGAAGGTAGTGATAAGGTTCAGTTCCTTCTCTTGGGAACCACAATCCTAATTACCTGCATCAAACCCAAAGCACATGTTTAGGTTCTTCAGAGAGACAGGAAATTCCTGTGCAGGTGATTTCAACTGCTGGGAGGATAATGTGATTAAGGTAGTAGAGGTCATTGGGAGTGGGGGGTTGGAAGGATCCTGTGTGGCCCGCAGGAGAGCTCTACCCTCTGTGAAGGTGGCAAGACTGTTTTCCAGCCTGGAGTAGCAGGTGCAGGGCAGTCTAAGTGACTAACGCTCTTTGCACTTCCTTTTTTGATACCAGTACTAAGGTTAAGGTCAAGGCAAGCGAGTGCCTACCTCTCTGTGTCAGTCCTTAACAGGGGCACCTGAATCACCAAGCTTTCTAGAGTTCTTTGATAGAGGAGGCTTTATCTAAATACCAAGAGAAATGATACGGTTTTTGCCTACCTTAAGTCCAGTGTTGATGGCAGACTTTGACCTTGCATTTTCTTGCCACTGGCTGTTTAATTGATAGTGCTGTTAACTTGTGGGTACCAAAGTCACCACACAAGGTGATCTCTCCTTCCACCCCCAAGTCACTGAGAAGAGCTAAGTCACTCTTCTTTCCCCATCTGGGGAAATGGTGGTTCCAGCCCCCTTAGCATATCTGCTGGGCGGAATGGACCACTGATGCTTTTCATCACTCTCCCAGGTAGACTTCATGTCCACGTATACTCAAGCTGACTTTCAAGGGACTCAGACTGCTGAGATGAGGTTGCCAAGGTGAAAAATGGAGTGAGCTCGGTTTGGACATAAGCTTAAATACCTTGTTACATCCAGGTGGAGATCAAGCAGGCAGTTGGAAGCTGTAGTTAAACTTGGTGATAATAATTCAGGAGACAATAGCAATGGGTATTTAAAGCCACCGGACCACATGCAATCCACAGGGCACGGTAGCCATGGAAGAGGACCAAGAGCTGAGCCATGAACATTCTCCATGTAGAGATTGAGAAAATATGGAAGAGCCTTCTGCTGTCCTTATTCAAAAAATAAGCCAATGGCAACCACTTGGGGAGCTGGGTCTGCGCTGTGATCAAGTGGAATGGCATGGGGGGGAAGTGCTTCTGGGCTCCACAGGCTGCCAGAGGAAGGACTGTGCCCTTTAAACCTGCCTGCTCCCTAACAGGCTGCCGAACTGAGGTAGCCAGAGCATACCTAGCACAGGGGACAGGGATGCTATGGCAGCAAACACAATGCTTTCCAGACACTAGCAGATTGCCAGTGAATGTGAATATTTAACTGTAAAATAAGAACACTGGCCTAAAGGGGAAGAGCAGTGCTCTTGCCCAGGGACTGCTCCCAGGAGCTTCTTACCAAGGTCCTGGACGAAGGAAACTATGGCAGATCTCTGCGTGTCTTGAATGAGACTTCATGCAGACAGAATTAACTGGGGTTTGTCATAGACCTCAGAAGCATTTACGAAATGGTTAAATCTTTTAGATCTCCCAGCTGAGTAAACTTCTATTCAGATGGAGAACTTTGTTCTTTCAAAGGTGCCAAATTATAGCCTTGTATATCCTTGTATCTCCCTCAAGTCATGCCTTTTGAAATGCCTTCAAAAAGTAAACTGGTCCTGCACACTTACACAGGAGAGACGTGCCAGAGGCTTTACCTTGTTGTCTGCTTGCTGCGTCCCAGTTTGTTATGAATGTAGGAAGTATTCTTCAGACTTGAAATCCAAACCTACCTTTTCTAGCCAGGTGGTGGTGGTTCACGCCTATAATCCTAAGTATTCAGAAGGTTGATAACTGAAGATAATAGTTCAAAGCCAGCCTGGGTAGAAAAGTCTGAGAGACTTTTTATCTCTAATTGACCAGCAAAAAGCCAGAAGAGGAGCTCTGTTTGAAATGATAGAGAACACAAGGCCCGGTACTGACACACAAAACCACACCTTTTTCAAAGGTTGCTCTGCTAAAAGATGACAGAACTTGGATTTAAACTGCATCTTACTTTACTGAGAGCTGTTAACTGAACCACAGAATTTAGGGAGTTTCAGCCGTGTCCTCATCTTGTTGTTGTGTCCTAATCTCATACTGTTATGTGTCTACTAGATTGTACATAGGAACTGCTGAACCTCTGACTTGGTTGCAGATACCCACCACCTTCATCAGCCATTGAACCCGAGTGGTCTTCAGGCTGGTGCCTCACACTGCTCCTCACAGCTTCCCTAGCTCCAGTCATTGCAACCCAGCTCCCACACCCAAGCCTGTGGAGCCCTGTGCCCAGGTCTTTAGTTTTGGAAAGGCTTCTTTGGGGAGCTACTAGTTTCCTATACATGGAGCCTATAAGTGAATTCCCTTCCGTGCAGCCAGGAATGGTAGAATGGAGTGGGTCAGACCCCAAGCCATTCTATGCAGAAGTTGATACCATCCTCAGTTGACAACAGTGCAGATTGTACTCTGTGGCTTGAAACTCAGCTCCCTAACCTTCTTTCAGGCCTCATACTGCTACAGATGCAGTCATGTTCTCTGGGGTGGGAAGGGGTGGGTGAGAGGGTACTACATGACTTGAAAGCTTTGGTGTGGTAAACCCTAAGAATTTCGTTCAAGGTAGAAAGAGAAACAAATGCATGCCAAGACTCACAGGATAAAAATACCATCCCAAAGGAGACTTTGCATTAGGATTTAGCACTCCTGATTATGTCAGTTTTTAGAAGAACTAGTTTTTTCCTGCCACAAAGAATAAAGCCACCTACCCTTCTGTCAGTATCATGCAGCTGAAATGAAGGAGCTGACCTGTGGGGTCTGGGCCTTCCAGATCAGCTTGCACTGGTGGGTGGCAGGGACAGGCCTTGGGGTGACGCCAGACAGGCACACAAACGCTCATAGCTGACTTGTGCCAAAGAAAATCTTGTGCCTCAGGTACTTCTCTTGTCCTAACTGGGGTGCCATCAGGCAGGAAACACATCTCTCAATTGTTACAGTATAATTACGTATTAGTAAACTGTCTGAAATAGAAAATGATGGGGGTCAGCAAAATGGAAGCAGAGCTTGTCTACTCAGGCTGAACTTACAAGTATTCCGACATTCAGAAAATCCTTACAAAACTGTGATTTGCTTTTTTACTTACATATAGAAAAAACTCCTCTGCTCCAGGTATGCAAGTGGCTGTTGGTAAACACTGATAAAGATTCCTTGCTGGCTTAGGTTAATGTTTGGCCAGGTGTCATCGCTGCCATTTAACCAGGTTGAGATTACTTGGTTCTGTATGAATTCCCTTGGGCCAGGGGAGAGTTAACAACTCTTTACAAAAATGCCAGATAGAAAATTTGGTGGGGGAGGGTTTGAAGACAAAACCCAAGAATATTTGCTCTGCTGTTCTAGCACCAATACCTTCATTCTTCATTTAGTTTGTAAACAAGTGTGCATGGCTATGTTCTAGTAAAACTTTATAGAGCCACTTTTGGCCTTAGTTTGTCAACCTCTGTCTTAAAAGGGAAATGTTCATTGCAGTAGAGCCCTGTAAATAAAAAATTAACTTACTTGTCTAGAAAAGTTACTTGATGGATTTGCTATATGTACAAAAGTAGCTAAAACTATTGCTAATACTTTTTTTTTCTTTTCCTTTTTTTCCAGTACTAGAGGTTGAACTGAGAAGTTAGCCTTCAGCCAGGATAGGCAAGCATTGTACTCTTTTGATCTATATACACCCAGCCCTTTTGTTTGTATCCTGCTTTTGATACAGGGTCTCTAACTCCGCTCAACTCACCATCCTCCAGCCTCTGCTTCCTAAGTAGATGGGACTATAAGCATTCACCACCATGCCCAGCTACAACATGATTTAAGTCATTAAATTGCATTAAAAAGCTTCTAGCTATTTCTATTGCAGAAGGGATGCTACTGCACAACAAGAAAACCAGGCCACCATTAGGCAGGTATGAATGGGCGGTGCAGGACTAGAGCCATGGGACTTCACCTCATTTTCTCTCTGTCCCACAGGTCTGTTCCTTATCCTCGGTTTGATACTCTACCCTGCTGGCTGGGGCTGCCAAAAAGCCATAGACTACTGTGGACCTTATGCATCTGCCTACAAACCTGGAGACTGCTCTTTGGGATGGGCCTTTTATACAGCCATTGGTGGCACGGTCCTCACTTTCATCTGTGCTGTCTTCTCCGCACAAGCAGAAATCGCAACTTCCAGTGACAAAGTACAGGAAGAAATCGAAGAGGGGAAAAACCTTATCTGCCTCCTTTAGTTTGGAAGAGACATGCTTTTCTTTCTTGGGTGACCTTGTGGAACAGCCATCATTTGAATCAAAGGAGAACTAGCCTTTACCTTCCAAAGCCACCAATGACGGCTAAGCAGAGCAACCAGACATAGGGCTGGAAGCAGTGCAAATGAGAAGGGATGGACCTCGAACACAGTATAGAATCCTGACTGTGGTTGTGCATTACTGTCAGACTCCACCTCCCCCAGGGCTCCATGAAGGATGGAATAGTGGTCGCAGCCTTCCTCTGGCCACAGAGACCATTTGCCAGTTCTACAGGCCATTTGAGGCATGTTTCTGCCCTAAAATTGTATGCCTGTGAGCATTCTGCCTTAGAATGAGGTCTGTGGGTCACTGTTTTGGTTTCCTTTTTTAAGTTGTGTGTTAAAGATTAAAAGGAAGACTACAGACTTACTGGGGACAGGTTGTGTTTGTTAAAGGACACAGCAAAACAGGAACAGAGTGGGATCCAGGGCAAAGTGGATTAACTGAATGGTCACTCCAAGATTTTAGAAAGTTTTGAGTTAAGGAAGATTAAGGACCAGTACCTTATATGAGAAAAAAATCTACAGGACCTTGCCAGTGCAGATTCTTTCCTAGTACCCAAACCAGCTCTGACTCCTCTCCCTCAGAGATCACAGTTCTGCTAGGGTCAGGACTGGGCTTTGATTGCCAAATGAAACCTTGCTGTCCTTCCAGGGACAGCCACGGCCTCTTGTAGATAGTCACTGGAAGGAGCTGTCAGAACCTTGAGTTTGTAGGGACAGCTCTCTGTCTGTTGGAAATCATACTATAGTCAGGTGACTTCCAACCCCTTCAGCAGAATGGTATTCTTTACAGAAAAAAAGGGGGTGCTTCTTGAGTTACTGTTTTGATCCTGAAACAAAAACAGCCACAGGCCACTATTAAAAAGGATTCAGGGCTTCTAAGCTGGTTTCCATAAATTATCAATATTATTGATTCAGGAAGGTAGTAATCAGAATGACCTAAGTAGCCAGAAACAACTAGTCAGGCATTATGTGAGGTTTAAGAACTACAGAATGGTACAGAAACACTCCTGGAACTGCTGGGCTTCTAGAAGGAATAAAAGCAAGTCTTTTTGGTTTTATGAATGTGTTCATTTGAGGTTTTGTTTTGAAAGTTTAACAAAGAGTTAACTAAGCACCTTCTTTCCTACTGTCAATATTGTGTGCTAAAAACTACCACTTATGCGAGTAACCCTGATTCATTTTACAACCTTGCCCTAGTGAATCATCTTTAAGCTTTGAGAGTTTAGAATTATCCCTGGGTGCAGAGGCAACTAAAGTTTCATATGTTATGGTCTTTGGCTACACCAGAAACCATCTTACTTCTCACAGATGAAAGGCAAGAGGGGTGTTATACCACTTTTCAGTAAGTTCACCACTTTGAACCAAAGTTTAAAATAAGCAAGGTAGAAACTATACAGCTTTTTTCAAAGACAGAAAAGAGGTTTCCTCCTAAGCAATCAAGGGATCATGTCTCTAAGCACATGAAGAATGGGAATAGGAGCCAATAGATGAGACCCCTGTTCCTGACTGCATTTATAATGTTCTAACTAACAAAGCCCTTGTGCCTACTTAGTTTTCCAATATCAGCAATACTTGACATTTAAAGCAATTTTGTCATCAGGCAAATCTTGCTCAGTAATTTTTTTCATTACAAGATAGAAATCTCTAACACTAATCTCACAATCTCTTTTCTCCTTATAGGCAAGTCATAAGCCTAGAGGATCCTCTGAACATATCACACATATCACTTGCTGTTTGGCAGAAGTAGCAGTATAGTCCTAGATCAACCTGGCAACAGTCACATGACTGATTATTTCATTAGTCAGAATGTTATAGTAGATTGAAAAGGACACTTGCACAAGTAAAACCTTAAACCACTAAAAACTACCTAAACACTGACTTACTACAACAGACATCAGTTAAAAACAAATACTGGGTCTTTTAAAAACTTCAGTCTATTAGACAGACTTACTTTGCATTGAAAGGAACATTAAAAATCATTCCAGTCTAGACCAAACCTCTTCTACACAGCTCTTTAAAAACCACTTGACCCACACCTGTTTTCCTAATAGAACAATTGCTAATACCAGAAAAGTCTTATTTATTTTGCCTGCATCTGTTGCTTAAAGTTTTGTGACAAGCTGGGCTTCTCAATGAACTCTAAAGCAGAAATATTTGCCTTGGAGTCTGTGGATTCTTTAAACCTGTGTTTTAATTCACAATGTTACATTAAATGATGTAAGGGTTTTGTATCATTTCAAACATCTGTGGTGTAATGAATGATCTTTGTTAAACATGTATTCTGTAAAGTGCCATAGTCTTTTATGTGTAGTGTATTTAAATATATATATTATATAAAATACATACACAGATTTGTGTGAAAGATGTGCAATAACAAAGGTGTATGTATGTATTGTTTTTTTGGAAACTGGACAGGAGTCGAAACGGGGTGTTTCTGTTTTGGCAGAGGAGAATTACACATTTTTGCCTGCATGGCCTCATCATTAGCGTAAAACAATTTTAATGCTACACAAATCTTATGTGAAGAAATGACTGGTATGAACTCATTTTCTCTTGGGTCTAAAATAAAATAATCACTCTATGTGAGTGAAGCCAGGCCCAGTTAATGCTAGTCTTTCATATGAAATGTGAAGCTCCCATGTTGCCTTTTTCTGTTGGTGTGATAACTAGTAATTGGTACATTCTCACTAAGGAGCTATTTCTTAACATAGACCAGGTTAATGCTACACCACTGTTTAAAGGGCTAATCTCACACCTTCTTAGCCATGAGTCTGGCTTAGAATGGATTTCTCTGTGCAATAACTTTTGGCCACTGGAAATCCCTGGCCTCCAGTTGTGTTTGGGTACCAATGACTCCATTGGCCCCAAGAGTTGAAGGGATGACTGGGATTTCGTCTGAGACTGTGGTGAAACTCCTCCCAAGGCTGAGGGGGTCAAGAGGTGCTTTGGAGGAACTTGGCACCATTTGAAATTGAGTAGCCACTTGAGCCAAATATAAAATTGTATTTACAAGCTGACAGACTCAATTTGAGCCTTCAAATTTGTGGTTATTCTATTGTAAAGTAATATGTTGTTTGTCTAGCATTTATTAGATTTTTATGCATATGTATTTTCACAGTGTGCTTCCTTCCCCTCCTCAGTTTGAATTAAACCAGATTTTGCAAACTCATTCTTTCAGTATATTGGCTTCAAAATCATGCATATAATTAGACCAAGAAAGTAACTACCACCACCCAACAAAATGTATTTGAAACGCTGTAATATTGGTAGTAGGATAAAAGATATTAAACTACTTTCAACTGTTACTCATGACATATATATGTCAATATCCCTTTTGCAGGTTATCTTCATCAACAATTACAATGGGGAGGGTGGGGGAAAGAGGAAACCTCATGGACTACACAAACACCTTTGAAATACAGAAAATGCTTCAAAGCACTATTTTATACTTGGGATAGGTGAAAGCTAACTGAAAGATACTTTCATCTCGTCCAGCAAAAGTGGCAATAGTCAGCTGTAATACACATTTCCCGACAGTGATCCTGCCCATTTACAAATGAAAAGATACTATTTTCATGAACTCAGCCACAAAGCACTTCCATTCTGAGAGAAGACACCAAAGTGCTTCCCTGAACTAGGGCTTGTGACAGCCAAAGGGTATTTATGCTTTGGTTTCTGAACATACATCTGTCCAATTTCTAATAGAAATCAAAATTAAAAGCAGGCAAAATTATACACATCACTAAAGAAAACATTTTCTAAAATCATGACCTGAATATTTCAAGCAAAACAAGAAATTTTTCTGTTGCTTTCTGAGGTGTTATTACATCTTTCTCAAAAGTCAGTCCAGCTGGGTGCCAGTGGCTCAAGCCTGTCATCCTAAGTACTCAGAAGGCTGAGATCTGAGGACTGCAGTTCAAAACCAGCCTGGGCAGGAAAGTAGGAGACTCTTATCTCCAGTTAACCACCAGAAAACCAGAAGTAACCCTGTGGCTCAAGTGTTAGAACGCTAGCCTTGAGCTGAAAAGCTCAGAGATAGTGCCCAAACCTAGAGTTCAAGCCCCACGACAGCACTGCCCCCCCCCCAAAAAAGAAAAAAAGTCCAGAAGGGAAAGGGCCCATAGCTTAAATTTCAGCAAAGGCTGGAGGGAGTCTTGTGTTCCCATCCTTAGTTTTTACCTAGCAATTTTACTAGAATCAACTTTACACCCTTAATCTTCCTGGGGCACCTAATTCAACTTACTCCTAGATCCCTTTAAAGTCTTTCCTTAACAAAAATTCACTTGTGAACAACTTTCATTACCCAAGACATAATATGTGGACATTATTTCACTACCTTTCTTGGCAAATACTAAGAGACTACTCTTCAAAGCAGCAACAGCCAGGACCTGTCCTCCCCTCATGGACCCTTACAGCAGCTTAGTCATTCGGTAGTCATTGCCACTGCAGCCCCTACTATCTTCCTCCTTGCAGTGTCCCTACTGTGAAGACTTCTATAGTCTGTTCTTCAAGGCATGAAATACTCATTTTGCTTAGGGCCACAGGATATAGACAAAAACACAAACAGAGGAAGCAGAGAGACTCAAAACCTCATGTCAAAGTCAAATAACATGGCTATTATCAGTTGTTTGACTTTTTATAGCCAAATCCTGAAAGATCAAACACCTTTAGGTAATCAATTTTTGATGCCTGTTTGGGGTAACAGATTCCAATCTGTTCTATTTCAGAAAGATGAAATCATGACAATGGAAGTGAAGACTGTCAACAGGATGAGTTAGGAAAAGAATGGACAGTCTAGAAACATCAGAAGCAATGGGTCAAGGAGAAAGTCTAGGATGACTGTCAGAGAGAGGGAGAGGGGTGAAGGGGAATAGGTAGAGGAGAGAGGGAGAGAGAAGCTGGGTGTAGAGTCTAAGATGACTGCCAGATATGACTATAAGGAATGAGGGAAGGAGAGGGGAAGAGGAAGGAGAGGAGGAGGAGGAAAGAGAAAGCTGGGAGTAGCTGGGAAGAGGCCAGAGAAATGGGGTTAAAGATGGAGATGTGGGAGAAGTATGTTTTAATTACTGTTCACATTCAATGTACTGACTGAGAATACCACAGTTATGCATTCATTCATCAAAACCCTATGATACAGAAACTATTACCATTTTCAGTGTATAGATAAGTAACTGCCCTAGATCAGAAAGATAAGTGACAAAGCTCAACTACAGATTTGATAAGACATAAAAAGCAGCTTTGTTGCTATGCTGTTTCCTTCGCTTAGAACAAGATGGAGACGGCCAATACTCACTTCTGGGAATACCAATGCCTCAGTTTGGTGAACAAAACTTCAGGGGCAACTTCATGACAGCCACACCGTAAAATCATAACCATGAAAACACTGTTCCTTCCTTGCTTGCAGAGAAAGCCTAGCAGTTTTCCATATTTTGAAAGCATTTCAACTATCAAGCCTAAAAACAAACTCTTAAAAATTCATCAGGCACATGAAATTGGTAAAATAAAAGATAGGATAGTTTCTATCATTTTCTTAGTGCAAATACTCTCATCCAAGGCAAACAGGCATTATGATCACCTAAGAAGCAAATTCAACCAAATCATTCAGGATTTGTCCTTAAAGTTTCTCCAAACACTTGAAGAGCAGGAAACAGGTACTCACAGGAGGGTTGTAGAGCTAGCCTTTGGCTTAGACACTTAAAAATCTATGTTGTAATTCTCTTCTTGGTTACTTATTTTTTTTCCTAGTATCCATTGTCCCCAAAGGATGAACAAACATCACTGGAAATGTGAAAGAATGGGAGAGAACACTGAATTGGAGAAAAGTGGACTGCATAGCAAAAGCAGCTCAAACTTGGCAGGAGTCAGGCAGCCTGGCTGTTGTATTCTGTCCAGCCCTTCACTACTATTCCTCACTGACTGACTTTGAGGTGGTTCCTAGTCTTCTATAAAAGCAGAGCCAATAGAAATTACTCAGAGACAATACGGAGATCAAGTGGTACATGTAAAGCATTTAATGTAGTTTCTGGTATATAGTAAGTCCTTAGTATTAGAAGAAAACTAAGATATTCCTCTGCACGCTTAAATGAGAATCACTTGGAATTGAAGGATAACAAAACCTATTGTCAAAAGCAGTCTAATTTTGGGCTGGGAAGGTGGCTCAGTGGTACAGCACTTGTCTTGCATGCACGAAGCCCTGGGTTCGATTCCTCAGCACCACATAAGCAGAAAAAAAAAGCTGGAAGTAGTGCTGTGGCTCAAGTGGTAGAGCACGTGCCTTGAGCTGAAGAGCTAAGGGACAGCGCCCAGGCCCAGAGTTCAGGCCCCATGACTGGACACCCCCCCTCCCCCCGCCAAAGAAAAAGCAGTCTAATTTTACTTAGATAACAAAATTGGCTATCTGAGGCCACCATTTCTTTTTCCATACTGTTAAAATGGAGCATTTACAGTAGAGCTTTCAGGAAGTGGAAGGTATCTCTGTGGATGGAAGGCACACAGTTACTCCTGGGGAAAAACATAGCATTGGTTGAACCCACAAGCTTGGGAAAACAGAATACTTAGAAAACAGACCTCTTCATTACTCATCCAAACTTCCTGGTGTAAAAGACTTTCTGGAAAAGGAGCACCTGATGTAGGCTAGGGGTGGAGAAGAGGCCATCTGTACACAGCTGATGGAGGCCAAAATTGATACAATCTTTCCAGAGAACAATTTCACAATGTACAACAAAGGTATTTTTAAAAACATGCGGCACTTTTGACACAGCAATTGTGTTAAGATTCTCCAGCTGAAAATATTTGAAGGAGGGCATTGTGGTTCACACCTGTAAGTAATACTAGCTACTTGGGCTGAGATCTGAGGATAGTAGTTTGAAGCCAGCCTGGGCAGGAAAGTCCTTGAGTCTCTTATCTCCAATGAACAATCTAAAAACCACAAGTGGAGCTGTGCCTCAAAGTGGTAGGACCCAAGCCTTGAGCACAAAAGCTCAGGGACAGTGCCTAAGACCTGAAGTCAAACTCCACAACTGATCCCCTTCCCGCAAAAAAGTATTGGAAGTTAATTGAAGGTAAGTAAGGGAGGGACAAAGGATGATGATACAAGGACACAATAAAGAGCAGTAGGGCCTCAACTGCAACAGAAAGCTATTTGGATATTCCTTTTCTAAGTTAATCTTGACATTCATTGGTTTTCAAATATTAACCAGTGTTAATGATGTTGGCATGCTCTTAAATTCTATTGGAAATATTTCATTTTCCAAAATAGTCGGCTACTGTGGGTGGAAAAAAATTTTAGCTTAATATAAAAAATTTTCAACACAACTCTAATACTTTAAAACATATTATTCTACTCTAAATTTATACTGTAGCACTTGATAATCTATTAAAGTGAGATCTCCAATAGGCTCAATCCTATGAAATCAACAAATCCTTCTAAATTATTTTCCTTAAGAAGACAATGGCTGAAATGTATGATGGCCATAATTTTAATGTACATATCAGGGAGAAAGGCCCCAAAATGTAACAAATTCTGTATATAGAAGTGTGTCAGTATCAGTGTTTTCAGAAAAACAAAAGTAATAAGTACTAAAATACTGTCCTTATTTTAATTCAATATGTAGTTTCTCAAATTATGACTGACCATGAACACAATTTTAGATTATACTTTTACATCTTCAAAGCTAACCAAGTTAAAAAAAACCTATTACAGAAACAGTACTTTCAACAGCAACAGGAAACCAAGGTTAGGAAACAGAACACAGGTAATATTAAATTAATACAATGCTGGTACAGAGGCACCCATTTTATTCAAGAAAACGTCTAGACCATGAACCTGACCATCTTCTACATAGTCTGTGTATTTTGCCCTTAAGGTAGTGAAACTATTTAATACGGGTGAAGCTCGTGTTCAATTCCTACAGCAGTCTAACTCAATAGTCATCTTGTGTTAAGAGTTTTCATTATTTATTCTATTGAGCACATAACAAAGTTATAGATTTTTAAAGATAAAATGTGAATTTTCTCTATATTTACAGCATAATGGCTTTCTAAATTACTAATATTTAAATTATGCAAACAAAAATCCAGTAAACAGCATTTTATTTTATGACACTCTGCATCAATACAATAAATATACAAAACTTCCAAACCACCGAGGACATGCAACATTAGAGGACAGATGGAGGGCATTATACAGAACTGTGAGTCACCGCGGTGGCAGCACAGAATTAATCACCAACAAAATATACACACAGCCTAGATAAATAATCCACGTCACTAATTACAAATCACTCAGCAATGCCTTTCTAATGTTCAAACCCTCGCTTGAAGTAAAATAGCCATGACTTAACATCGCCACCTGAAAGGCGACACAGGCAGGAGCTCTATGAAGGTCATTTCATGGCTGTGATAGTGGCTCATTTTACTATTGAATATAAAACAAATGCCAATATTTCGATGAGTTCATTATTGTTCAGAGAGTAGTGAATATAAGAATTTAAAGCTGTTTTTATACCTGACCAAGCTATAGGCATTGCCCCCATTTTAATGATCTTTTATATTTTCAAAGCCTCCAATTTTCTCTTTGTAAATTTGTATCAACCCAAATAACTGGATTTTAATCAAATAACTGGCTTTAGGAAAAAAATAACCATCAGTTCAATTATTCTTCACCACCGCCTTTGAGAATTTCTACATAATAGCAACATTTCAATTCTGAAGGAAAGTTATTAATATTTTCCAAAAGTTGCTGACATACATTTTATTTGTAGTTTAAAGAAAAGCAAAAATACACTTGAAATATAAATGAATGCAGAGTGTAAGTGCTCTTCACCTGCTCTAAGGTGAATGTCTGACGTGTGTTTAAAGTCCATACTCAATAAAGCATATGAACGAAACAGATTTTCACTAGGACTTTAGAACTGGGGAGTTGGTTGAGAAAGCAGATGGAGAATCTCATCCATCAGAGTATTTCTAAAAACAGCTTTCAAGTCTACTCTGAGTCCTATTTTCTTCAGAAGAAAAGAAAAATATCTTACAACTATATTATTCAACAAAGTCTCCCCCAAAACTTACATGTAAACAGAATCTGGAAGGAGCTGCATCACCTAGTGAAGTCTCAGAAATAACAAAATGGATGCCATCCCAGTATGAAACCTACTTTTGAGAAGAATAAAAAAATTTAATCACTTATGCCATTTGATTGTTTTAAGAAAGGACTCTCAGTCTCAAATATCATCTAATAGACCATCCTCTCTTAAATCAAGTTGAATAAATCACTGCCTGTTGTTCTGCAATCTAAAACTTCCTAAGGAAATTTAAAAAACATAATAGTGTTTTGAGTCATTTAATCAGTATTAAAAATTATTCAAAACTTGAACATAAGAATTAAACATAAGAATTAAAGTCTGTGCTGCATATAACAATTTCAATGTGATCATGTTCATAATTAATGCATTTAGTTATATTTGTAATTTCTTGCTTGGTGCAATGTTTTGTGTTTTCTATTGCTAAAAATTTTTAATGTATTCAGTCCATCTCAAAAAGTGAAAGACTTCGGTGCATTAAAGATTCAAGTATATTAGAAATGCTAGGGTATTTTATTTTTAATGCAACTTAAAGTGAAAGGGTAAAAGAAAAATCCCTTAAATACTGTATGTTCTTTTTGGACAATGGTTAGGCTAGCCTTTAATACCTCTGTCAAAAATTACACACATGCATACACATACACAATACACACACACACACACACACACACACACACGCACACACGCACACCCCAAAATAAGCTGCCAAACACAATCTCAGTTCAAATAAAGTGTAATCACAAGACTATATTAAAGTGTCCATACAGTAAATTTTACTATATGAATACTGAAAATTAAGCTATAATAAAATTAAAGGAGCTATTATTACTACATTCTGTTACAATGATTAACTGCCGTCTCTTTTGGATAATGCACTGCATATTATATTAAAGTCTTTATACCCCAATAAATTTTTATTTAAAAGAAACTATTATAGAAAATCATTTCTATGATTCCATAAACAAATCCTGATTTCTATCACTATAAGCAGTACAGGACCCAAAAATACTAATTCTTTCATTTAAGAAACTTGGTGTCCATGCAAGATCAGAGATTGTTATCAAAATGTCAACTACTCAAAAAAAAAAAGTTAAAATATACATTATCTACTATGAAGCACACAGGCTCTTCATTGGTAACTGAACCGATAAAAAGCAAGCCAATTTAAAAATTCATTAAGTCTCTGCTGGCCTATTTCTTTTAAGATAAATAAGGAGAAAAGAATGAGTATAGTTTTGCTGTTCCAATGTGTAATCTTTATCTCTACAGATTCTTGAAAGAACTATAGCAGTATTAAGTGCTTTTTCAATCATAAGTCACATATTAGTTTCAGTGTGTCACCACTGAAGTGATCTGCTGAGCATCATCCCCCAAGAATATGGAGAATATTTAGCATGTAATATTTTGTCTGCACAGGGCACTGAAATATTAATAAACTATTAGGTAAAAGTAATAAGACAAGGAAATTTTTCTGGTTTTAGCCCATGCACATGTGAACAGGAAATACCCATGCTGTGTGAACCGTGTGTTTCCAACAAAAAAATATTTGTAGAATACAGTAACTGGAGAAAAAAGTACAGTCAAAAGGTAACAGTGTGTATTGGGAGGGTCTCTAAATCTGGTTACCCTTGAAAGCACTTTGGGCGGCACTGGTTGCTGCAGTTGAAGCGGCATTTGCAGCTGCTGTCTGGACAGTCTTGTTGGACATCACGCCTGTTGCAAACTCTTGTTGAGCCTTCTCAAAACTAGCACCTGTTGTGCGATACAGTCCATGAACCTATGGAATAAAGTGGGAGAGAGTTAAATGGTAACCATTCATTTCCAGCAATCTTAAGTTAACCTCACCATGACTCAGATATAAAAGAGCTAGAGTCCAGTCATAAATTCCTAAGATCAAGAGCATTAGCCACCACATTATGCATATATTCTATTTCATATTTCCTTAGTATGGGTTTTTCATTTTCATCCCCAAGCAGAAGAAATTATTATGTCAAGTCAAACCAAAAATAATTCAAAGGACAACTTCTTAACCAACTGCAAAAGCTATTTTTCCTGATTCCATTAGTTAATATATTGCAACATTGAAAGAGAATGGTTCAAATATAAAGAGATAATCTGACTTTCCTACCTCAGACAATTCAAAGAAAAAGATTTCTATGTTGGCTACATACATACCACTACCATATAATATTCTAATGTTATCATTTTAAACTTTAACCACGCACTATTTATATCCTTAAACATACTGGTTAACTTCCTGTGTATGGCTAAGTCTTAAAGGAGTGTTGAAGTGATGTGGACATCTGTTTGTCCAATACTGACTCACCATTCAAGTCTTGAGGTTTATTTTCCTGAGTAGGGTTCAAAATTTTCTCTCACCATATGTTTTTAGCAGCATAATCAAACTACAAAGTCCACCAATACATAAGATTATTCAGCACAAATGTGAAAAAGGAAATAATAAAGTAAATTAGAATAGAAAGTTATTACATGTTCATATACCCTGAGATGGAAGCAGAATAAGGAAGCCAGTGTGAATGGACCTAAGTTAGAAATCTCACTGCAATGCAACCAAACAGGTTGTGAGGAAGAGTCAACTATAGCCAAGTCAGTCCTTTCTCTAAATGTCTCCTCTCAAAGCTAGATAGGAACTGGTAACTATGGAATGAATTCAGAGTGAGAAGGAGTAGAATAGGTCAAAGACTCTGAGGGCTAGCTTGAAAAACAGGAAGTAGTTTCAAGAAGATAAGGAGTAAAAAGAATAGGTTGGTTCAAGGGGAGTCTATCACAAAAGCCAGGAGAATACTTGGTTTGGAGCTCAGAAGAGTAATGGGCTAAAAACATGGGCAAGGAAACTACTGAATTATGCTATGGACCAAATTGTGTTTCTTCTCCAAATTTTTATGTTCAAATCCTATTCTGCCATGTGATAGTATTGAGAGATGAAATATAAAAAAGATTAGGAATAAAAAAAGAACACTGACAAATACTGGTAAACTCTAAGATTCTTTCCCCTTGTACTTGAGCACTCTCATAGGTAATTTTTATTTCCTTCCAAACCACATTTTCAATTGAAAATTAAAGGTCCCAAATACTTATAAATTACTGCATCCTCGAAAATGAAATAGATAACAGAACTCTAACAAGCCTTTACCTACTACACATAATCTCAATGCTATACATTTACAAGTTCTTGTCTGTTTCTTCTCCATCCCACAATTGTGGGCATGGGGATGTAAGAAATGAGTATTGGTTCTAATTTGCTTTGCTATTATTTCCATTCTAAGATGTATATTAAATTGAATAACTGGTGTTATATTTTCATGAGTCTTATTGTTTAATTAAAATGTAACCCGTTGTGCCTCAACCAGAGGTAAAATGAGCAGCACACAGTTCTCAATAGTGTGTACCTATACAGACCCAGAGAGCCACCTAGAGGGGAAAAGACCACATGTGTATTCACTATACTATATTAAACCCATTATGTATCCATGTGGAAAGGGTGATGTATTTCAAGGACCCATGAATGACCATGTGCTCTCCTTCATATGTTCACTTTTTTGGGGTGCATAGTCCTAGGGCTTGAAGCCAGTGCCTTTGTGCTTGCTGAGTTTTTTTGTTCAAGGTTAGTGCTCTTCCACTTGAACCACAGCTCCACTTTCAACATTTTACTGTTTAATTGGAGATAAGAATCTCATGGACTTTCCTGTCAAGGCTGGCTTCAAACCATAATCCTCAGATCTCAGCCTCCTGAGATTATAGGAGCCACCAGCTGCCTTTCAGAATGACAACAAAATCTCAATATTGTATTCATTTCCACACCACAGAGCACAACAGAAAAAGCCTGATAACCACCGATTCCAAAGCCAAAATAGCACACACAGGTATCACTTTTGAGGGTATTAACTGCCCATGAAGATCCTGACCCCTAGTGGTTAGCAAATATGGTTACATACCCAACAAGAATTGTTGGTTATTAAATTTTGATAATTTGCTAGTAACTTTTGAGCAAGTGTGAACTAGAAAAGAAAAACTGAGCTGGGCTCCAGTGGCTCAAGCCTGTACTTACGGCTGAGATCTGAGGATCGAGGTTCAAAGCCAGCCCAGCAGGAAAGGCCATGAGACTCTTATCTCCAATTAACCACCAGAAAACCAGAAGTGGCACTGTAGCTCAAGTGGTAAAGTGCTAGCCTTGAGCTGAAATGCTGAGGGACAGCGCCCAGGCCCAGAGTTCAAGCCCCACAACTGACAAAAAAAAAAAAAAGAAAGAAAGAAAAAGAAAAGAAAAACAGAAAAACTGGCTTGTTTTCCATGGATCTATTTCTATAATAATATGAGTAATACCTATCATTAAAGAGGCTGATTCAAATTATATTTTAGTTAACATTATCTGTATTAACCGTACTTCATAAAAATCATACAGAAAATTATCTAAACTCATTTTACATGTAAAGAATATGACATATAGAGCAGTTTAGAGACTTCTATAGCACCAACAGACAGTGGACATATATAGAAAGAGTAACTGGGGGAGGTGGGGTACGCAGAGGAAGATGGCGGAGGAGAAGCTGGCGGCCAAACAAGCTCTCACATAGAAAGCAGTTTTTGTGTTCCAGTGAACAGTCCTAGGCGAGAGAATCACACCAAGTGTGCCATCACAGTACCGAGAGTTTGGCCAGAGAGGGAAAATCCAGGCAGCTTGGTCATGGAGATAGATCTGAGCACTTGCTGATGTCTGCCCCAGCAACGGCCACAGCCACCACATCAACAGAGAGACCGACAAAGGTGACAAACTCCGTGTGCTAGCGGATTCTACTCACCACCAGCAAGAACTGACAAGGAGCAGAAATCTTCATCCTGCTGATCACAGATCAGGGACGGCCCAGGAACCAAGAGGCTTGCATGAGTACCCTCAAGACATCCTCACCCATTCTCATGGGGCAGCTCCCTCCCCCACCACAGGAGAAGATCTCCATCTTTGATTCTGGCAAAGGCCCAGCTGGAGCACCTAGCACCAACTCAGCCTTGGAAGAAAACAATAGGAGCCATTGCACAGGTCACATAAACCTGACCTGACCTGCGGGGCTCAGCTCCACCTACAGGAAAGTCACCCTTCTCAGGTAGAGAAAACTCTGCCACCAGAAGAGTGACTTTCTTCATTGGGTAAACAGAGGCTACCCCTCCCTATTGCAGCCTAGTCAGCAGGAGGGGTAAAAGTCAAACAACTGAAACTCAGTAAATGTAAATCCTAAAAATGGCTCCAGGCTGGGCTCTGTGTGTGTCTCAGGAGCTAGCCCCTCAGGGAAAAGCTACTGATTGTTGATAGGCCTCAACTCTACCTGGAACCTAGCCTCATCACAGCAACTCCAAACTAGAGGATAAAGATTTCTGCTCTTTTGTGATACTCAAAGCAGATCTTTCTCCCACTGAACTAGCCTGGGAGGAGTATCAAAAAGTCCTGGGAAGGTAGAGCTTCTTTCTGACTGCTCAAACAAACTGACATAAGAAACCAATCAAGCCACAGGAAAACCAAACACCACAAGCAGACCAGAGACTCCACCAAAAGACTGGTTACAGACACAGGGGAGATACAAGATCTACCGCCCCCCCCCCAAAAAAAATCAAAGAACTCTTTTTTCTACCTAATTTGTTTAAAATTTTTTTAAATGTTTTCTATTTTTTTCTTTCATAATTCTTTTTTTTGGGTGGGGGTCCAGTCATGGGGCCTGAACTGTGGGCTTGGGCGCTGTCCCTCAGCTCTTCAGCTCAAGGCTAGTGCTCTATCACTTGAGCCACAGCGCCACTTCTGGCTTTTTTCTTTTTGCTTATGTGGTGCTGAGGAATCGAACCCAGGGCCTTATGCATGCAAGGCAAGAGCTCTACCACTGGGCCACCTTCCCAGCCCTTCTTCATAATTCTTATTTTAGGTGTGTGTGTGTGTGTGTGTGTGTGTATGTGTTTCCCCTTTTCTTTTTTGTGTGACTTAATTGCTGTTCTGCTCATCCCCAGATACCCATTGTCGATTATTAGATCTTATCCCTCATTGTGTACATACTTAATTAAGAAGTTTATTATTCAACTCACAACCTCTTAGGCTTAACTTCTTTAATAGTAGTATTATTTCTTTATACCTCTATAACTTTTAAGTATTCCATTTTTAAAAATATGTTTTTGTTTTTTTTTTGGGGGGTCCGGTCGTGGGGCCTGAACTCTGGGCCTAGGCACTGTCCTTCAGCTCTTCAGCTCAAGGCTAGTGCTCTACCACTTGAGTTACAGCACCACTTCCAGGTTTTTCTTTTTGCTTATGTGGTGCTGAGGAATTGAACCCAGGGCCTCAAGCATGCAAGGCAAGCGCTCTACCACTGAGCCAACTTCCCAGCCCCCAAAATTTTTTGTTTTTTTTTATATTGCCTTTTTATCTCTCTCCTCTTATCCTTTTCTTCTTTCAATATCATTTCTTTATACTTACATAATTTTTAAGTTCCATTTTTTAATTTAAATTTTTGGTTTTTTTTAATGTTTTTCTTGTTTCTTAACGTCTCTCCCTTCATTCTGTTCTATCCATTTCCTCTCTGAGATTAGGACTTGGTTAAATTCACTCTTCCTTTTACCTCTCCACATCCCTCAAATCCTATTTTTCCCCACAAGTTTCCCTAAACCTATTAATTTCTGGTCTGCTGAATTCCTCTTTGATATTCTTAGCCCATTAATCCATAGATGTTTGAGGTCCAATAGATTGTATCTGTTGAACTAGATTGTATCTGCACCCATTTTGAC